TCTCAACGGACCAGCCTGTAAACTTCATGTGGTGTGTGAACGTGGAGCAGAATGCACTGACCTGAACGTGGCCAGCTCGTCATGCACAAGCAGGGTTCGTCTCGCGTCGGCCCCGGTTCTTGGTGCCCGTTTCATCCGCGAACATCGCCGCTTTGATTCCGCCACGCATGGCTGGAAACGTCGCTGTTTTCCGCGAATAACTTAACTGCCGTTCCAGTAATGTGACGGTGTGTTCCGATGCCAAACTGCCGGATCAAAGCTGAAACTCAAAACATCCGCGCGCAATCACGGCAGCCAGCGAAGCTGGGACCGTACAGTCTCTGGCGAATCCGCCCCACTGTTAGCCGATCACAGCAGCCGCACGAGAAGGCGCCGATTAGCGCGGGCCCCCTCCGGCGCGCGGGAGCCCCCGAGGGTGTCGGATGCCCGCCGGCGAGGCTGACCTGGCGACCGCCCGTTCGATCCAGCTTGTGCGTCGTCATCGAGCGAGAGGAGCTGGGAGGGCTCGGCTGCGCCAGCGCTGTGATGCTGTCGGCTGCTGCCGGATCGTCTGAGCGATGCGGCAGCGTTGTGAGTGCGTTCTACCTGTCAGCGGAGCGTCTTACCTGTCTCCAGGGTGTCGTTTATGTGGAAACATGCACACATAGCTCTCCTATAACTTTTAGGGTAGCCTCTCTAAGTGTACCTCGGCGTATGCTGCCTCGCTTACCAGGTTGTTAATCTATCCTGTTGTATATAAAATAATAACATGCTCAGCTGTCCGAGCACCAACAGTTTGGACCTCAGATCGACAATATCAATTGCCCGAATCATGGAGCTAGCATATCCTCGGCCATATCCCTACTCTGCATATCGAAGTGTTCCTCTTGTTACGGGATGATACTGATTGCCAACAGAATGACGGGGGTCCATCTGTTTAACTCGGTTGATCTCACTAACTTTACGCCCGATCTTCGTGCTAAAAGGTTAAGTTATCGTCTGTGACATGAAAAATGTAGGTGTTTTAATGTGTTGGCACCACGTAAGTGCACTGTCTTCTCTCTGGAGCTATAACGATGACTGTCGATGATAATATATAGGTGGTGTACATTCTATCGTGGCTGATTCACTGGAAGTCGAAGAACAATAAATAATTTAATAGCAACCAGAATTTCTTTTCGAACTTCAGCGTGGACGAACGACGAAGAGCGTGACAACATGGGTATATCTGGACATCATCCTCACCGAGTTACATATCTCAACACTTTTAATAAGCATGGAAGTTACGTATGCCACTTCAACTGCAACATCATTTTGGAGTTCCTCCATCTGCATCAGAGCTGCAGCGGGTTAGAAATGGCTACAGGCAGTGAAGCCTTGATTGAAGTGCTTCACAGCAGGCAAAGGTCAAAGGTCAATCACGCTCATTCATAACACTCATAAGGCATACGGAAACGTCTGCATATCAGTAACCTGCAATGAGCCTGATGATTTCTGGGTTACGCAACGGTGAACTCTGACTGATTCGCTATTGACCCGTGTCGATTGACGACTGCCTAAGAGGAGGCATCACTGATTTTATTATTATGCTAGTATCCGGCAGGGATGCCCGGCGAATCCCGGGTAATAAGGCATTTCACACCACAAAGTGACGATTAAGGGTGCTATGTTCGATTTCATGGTCGTGAATTGGTCTGAATGTGTTGTAATTATTTGTATAAAGGCATGAAGACGTAAAGACATCTGGCCAGCAAAGGGCCACAAGGGCCCATCGAGGTTGATTTGTCTCAAGGTCCACGCACACCCTCGAAACTATTTTTGCCACCTAATCTGCCTGAATTGAGCTGTAGATCGTTAGACCGATGGAGCTTCACCAAACTATCTTTAATGTTGGAGGAGAGGGACTTCCTACAACTTCGTTTGACAGTCCATTCCAATGATTCACTACTCTGACTGAATGACATCTGCTTCTTTGTTGTTCTCCTCCGAGCTTTTGCTAAGTGAATCTGGTTTTTTTAAGTGTCCACCTAATTTCCACTGTTCCAGGCAGATCTACCTTGCCTATCCTTTTCATGATGTTGAATTCCTCCACCACATCCCGTCAAGTCTATGATATTTTAGTGAACGCAACCACCAAGACTTTAAGCCTATTCTTACATTCTAAGTCGCAATCCTGTTTATCATTCAAGCTATACTTGTATCTAATCCTGGGACACGCTCCAACAAAATTCCACGCCAATCTGAACTCAAATTATTTGCGAAAGTATCCCGGCTATGCGGTCTCTAAATCACACCACACAAACTTCAGCCACCAAGTGGAACAGTAACATGCAAAATGCAGAATACGTCGACCAGTCTCAAACTGTTCACTGAGGGTCGCTGTCATGAACCAGGTCACCGTATTCTTCTGTAACGGTGCTTCACCAGCTGACCTGTCAGGAGGGACACGTGCCCGAGGCGCAGTTCCTGGCGGCCCACCGGCTGACCTGTCAGGAGGGACACGTGCCCGAGGCGCAGTTTCTGGCGGCCCACCGGCTGACCTGTCAGGAGGGACACGTGCCCGAGGCGCAGCTGCGGGCGGCCCACCGGCTGACCTGTCAGGAGGGACACGTGCCCGAGGCGCAGCTGCGGGCGGCCCACCGGCTGACCTGTGACGAGGGACACGTGCCCGAGGCGCAGCTGCGGGCGGCCCACCGGCTGACCTGTGACGAGGGACACGTGCCCGGGGCGCGGCTCCGGGCAGCCCACACCAGGGCTCTCACACCAGCGGACAGTCGGGCGCTGGGGGATCGTGGCCAGCATAACGCGATATTGCGAGGGACCGGTGCAAGCTGGATTACGAAAGTTTGACCCAGAAAAACTGCGCGACAGTACGTTTTTGTTGTTCAACGATATGTTGTGACTCCTCATGCAACAAATAATTGGCATCATTCCGGAAAGAGAGCTGATATTCTTTGCTGTTCTGATAGATGTTAGATGACGCAGAGCCGTCCGTCTCGAGCTGGGAATGGGTCATTTCGCAGCAGGGATCACGCGTAAAGTCGCACCAGTCCACATATCTTGTGGATGACACGAGTAGCCTGATTCGTCGTGGGATGAATGATATGCACCGCGGACCAGTGAGTACTGCCCCGGGGCTCAGAGAGTGAGTCGTAATGCCGCTATGCCGCTCGCAACCAACCTCGTCAGCTAATCTGCTAATCAGATGGAGGATGTTTGATCGCGATGTACTACACAAAGTGGTCTGATCTGGTCTAAAGCGTGACATAAACATTTCTCTCGCGGGCTGGTTTAGAAATTATTACGTGTCTGGGCCCTGGGGACTACCGGCAGCAGCTATAAGTGGTCAAAATGGTCCAGTGAAAAAACAAACTAGTGCCTCAAAAAGGCTGCAAGTCGTTTGCCACGCAAGGATTTCCGATTTTTAGCGGATAAAGAAAACTTAGCGCTGAACAAAATGTATTGCCGCTCTATGACTGAGCTGCCTCAAGAAACCTACGGCTCAGTAAAATGTTTCATAGCTAACTACTCTAGTAAAAAGCGTTAGTGTTTAACCAGCACGTTTGTAAAAATACACTGTTTGTATGAGTTTCAAGAATACTTATTCTAACTGAAGGTTTGGAGATGAGCAATAACAGGGGTGTGCTCGTTTTGAAGATAAATATTGTTGTGTATGATGATACCGTCTGCAATACTTTGTAGTTAAATACATTCCCTCTAACGAAATTTGTTTTGGGCGGACACAAGACGATTTCTTCCCCTACCACTCAATCACAGTTATGTGGCATTGAAAAAAGCAACATAATTGTCAGAATTCTTTAACCAGGCTGTACCCGCCTCGCGAATTCAATGAGCGGCTCGTTGGCACCACACTTTGTGGTCATCTCACTCTGCTTGGAACGCCCCTGGTCCAACAATCTGTACGGTCGCCGTTCCCGAAGCCAGTAGCAGTGATTTGAAGCTGGCGCACTCAATTCTACTTTGAAACTCCCGGAATACAGCGGTTAAAGGCCGTTGACAACTCGTGCAATGTCAGCATTAGCAAACTGGCTTACAGCCATCGCTTGTATGAAGCTCAGAAAATATGTTAAGATAACACAAATCTGGTTTGGCCATAATTCGGCTGCAGCACATTGATCAACATGGGGCGAATATTGTTTTCATGGGAACGGGATACGCTAAAGGTAGCAGCACGGCCTTAACCAGAATCTCTCGGCACTCTTTGATACAAAAAACCCACGCCTTCTCTTCCCCGTGTTCACCTACTATGGCTTCTGTCACAAGAGAAGGGGCCATTTAGAGCTGTTTAGGTGAGGGTTCTGCTGTATTCCTGTAGCTCTGGGCGCACACGCTCTGGACTTGCACCGCCACTTAAAACCGAGGTAGAATGGAATGACCATCCGACTCCGTTTGATGTGGCCCAATTTCTCTCCAAGATACGGGACATGTCTGCAAGGTTATGGGAGCTGAGCAGGAACCTAGGAGGTTTACTGTAAGGAGCTCCCCTTTCCAAATGTACGGTAAAACACGTCTTTGGCACAACGCAGATAGACACAGCTTCGGTCTTGGAACAAATGTCCACGTGATGAGGAGCGGACTGCGCGCGAGCACGGCGTGAACATTATGGGTATGCCTGATTATGGCCGCCATTTTACCTCAGGCCGGCCGAATTTGCTGGTACGTGCTGGCTCGTTTGCAATCAGTTGGTAGTTACGGTAGGTTTCCTACGCTCGCATTCCAAACGGGCATTTAGCAGGATAGAAGAACGGACTTTTTGGTACACCGCACAATATACCTCTCCACTCCTTCGTCTCCGCCGGGCGGGGAGCAAATTATCTCTGCTGCAACCTTATGGTCTGATGCTGCAACAATTTTACCCTCAGCCACTTGTAGGACACCAACCAACAGATGTCAGGACAGCACAAGGACACGTATTGTAGAGGGCAGTGGCATCGCCCGACCAACCGGCTGCGGCCTCCGAGGTCAGCAAAGGGGTCCGCCGAACGCGTTCCTCATTGCAGTCGTGAAACGAGTCTGGGACAGTGCTGGTACAGCTGACCGACACCGGAGCACCGGCGCTAAGGTCAGAAAACCACTGCCGCACCTGGAGCTTTTTACGCGCTGTCTCACGCAATACGCAAATGTGTCAGACGCACCAGTAATGTAAAACGCAGACGCTTTTAATTACATCTGTGTGTATATTTGCTTACCGCTTCAGTGTATCAACGTTCATATACAGAATATAGCGTACGTGGTTGCGGTTCTTGTCAGATGACAATGGCATCGTTTCGGATGCGATGTTAATCGTGTATGCCTCCGGCCATCCCAACTGAGTGACGCTGTGTCGTACGAAGTACGCGTCACTCCACATTTAGAGCTATATAGGTTGAAACGTGGCTAATATATGCATAATGGAGGCAGCGATGAGTTGATTATGGGCAGACGTGAGGCTGAATCCAGGATGCCATAGGATGCCATGTTTATGGGATCCTATGGGATCGAATCCTGGGAGCTTGTTTGGAACTCCAGGCATGTGTCTGAGAACAAGTTTAATCATGTAGACGACAGTAAATAAGTTTTGCAGACGTTTCTATTTAAATCAACAAACGTTCAACAAAATGCTTCGTCGTGCAACTGTTACCACAATAAATCATAACCACATCAATGCATTGGACGCGGGCGTTACTCGTGTGCGTCCAGAATATCTTGACGGATAAACAAAATACAAAACGTCGTGGCATCGACCACCTTGCATGAATTTAACTCCGAAAGAGGTAAAGCTCACAGGAAAGGAAAGCTTGCTGGTCTGGGACCAATGATGTGCCTTTCTCTCAGCGATATCTCAGCACCCTACGATATTCAACAGTTGAACGGTGGCGGCGTCGGAGCGTCACCTCATGGTATCTCTGTGATGCTACCTGCATGTCCTGCCCGCACCCGCTAATAATGCAGAGTATTTTAGCCGCAAGTTCACCTCGGAACAGGGTTTTGCTGAGCGGCGTTGAAAACAGCCGATCCGCAGTGATGCGGCCATTTGCCATTGCCAGTTGCCATTTTCCATGCCATGCCAGTTGCCATTTTCCCTTCGGAAGCGGACTCCGACTCCAGGTGTCCGACTCGCGCGTTCGGCGCAGAAGCTGGCTGTCGCGTGCGCCCAGAGCAGCTGATTCTGGACACATCGCACACCTCCGCCGTACGATACCAACGCCAGCAGCTGTCAGCCGCCACAGAGACTGGTCGTCAGGTTTGCTACGAATTCAGTGCGGCTTGGAACTAATTGGGCAAGCACCAGCAGGCTTACTGTCGCTACCGCGCGTAATGGGAAATGATATCCTTTTTCAACGCAGGCGAAGCTGTCGTTTATTAGACGCTCCATGGAAGTGGATTAATTCTTACGTGTTTTTGGTGACAGGTGCACAGTCAAGGGTAATGCACGGCCAATAATAAGCTCGCGCATTCGTTGTAAGTGATTTTGAGCGATTCCCCCAAGATAGTAATACCCCACTATTCCATCTACCCTGTTGAGCGCGGTTGCCTGCACCAGCGCTCGCGCAGGGTTCTACCGGCTCAGCTTGCGAGGCCTGCATGCTCGCGGATGGAGCGTTGCAAATCTGGGCTGCCTGGCGTGCGCTATCACTTGATGGCCCTTCACCACTAAGCTGGGTTTTCATCAAGCCGCTCACGTGCTGAGCTGGAACAGCTAAGCACGCGAGCTGTGATGGACCAGTTCAGCATTCAAGCTTTGATGGAACAGTTAAGCACCCGAGCTTTGATAGAACCGTTTGCCATCCACGCTTTGATGGAGCAGTTAAGGGCACAGCTGGATAAAGCAGCTAAGCTTGCTTAGCCGGAACAAAGCCCAAGGTCAGAGGGTCTCAATCAGCTGGTGTGAAGAAACATGTTTGACAAGCTCGAAATTGAAGGAATGAAAGCATCAAAAGGAGTACGCCGAAAATGGAGAGATGAAAAAAATTACAAGATTGGTCACCCAAGCGTTCACCCCAACGCAAAAAAGCGAGGTAAAGTGGAAGCCCAGAAGGTCAGGCCTGCGTTCTGGCAGATTGGTAAAATATGTCCTGATGCATGGCGAACTTCGACTCTGCTATGGCTGACGATGTTGCGAGTGCACAAGTACAGGCCGGCTTTTGGAAGTGGGAGTGTATACGCGAATAGTTCTGGCATGCTTCGAGCCACCCGCGAGGTCAGCCGGCACGAGCGTCCCTCCCGTGCCGGGGCCCAGTCGCCCTCACCACGCACGCCAGTTACGACGGAACCAGTGAGGGCGGAAATGAGCGCGGAAACGTAATGCGTCTGCAACCAGACACAGCCACAGACGGCGCGTGTGTTGCGTCAAACTCGCGGACGATTAAATGCCACGGCCCCGCCCTGCGCACTGGGGTTGACTTGTGGCAGCTCGGCAGACCGACCGTGCCCTCCGTGCTGGGGTCGACTTGTGGCAGCTCGGCAGGCTGACCCCGCCCTCTGTGCTGGGGTCGACTTGTGGCAGCTCGGCAGGCTGACCCCGCCCTCTGTGCTGGGGTCGACTTGTGGCAGCTCGGCAGACCGACCGTGCCCTCTGTGCTGGGGTCGACTTGTGGCAGCTCGGCAGACCGACCGTGCCCTCTGTACTGGGGTCGACTTGTGGCAGCTCGGCAGACCGACCGTGCCCTCTGTACTGGGGTCGACTTGTGGCGGCTCGGCAGACCGACCGCGCCCTCCGTGCCGGGGTCGACTTATGGCAGCTCGGCAGGCTGACCCCGCCCTCTGTACTGGGGTCGACTTGTGGCAGCTCGGCAGACCGACCGTGCCCTCTGTACTGGGGTCGACTTGTGGCGGCTCGGCAGACCGACCGCACCTCTGCACTGAGGTCGACTTATGGCAGCTCGCAGGACGGGGGTCGACCTGTGGCAGCTCGGCAGACCGACCGTGCCCTCTGTGCTGGGGTCGACTTGTGGCAGCTCGGCAGACCGACCGTGCCCTCTGTACTGGGGTCGACTTGTGGCGGCTCGGCGGACCGACCGCGCCCTCTGCACTGAGGTCGACTTATGGCAGCTCGCAGGACGGGGGTCGACCTGTGGCAGCTCGGCAGACCGACCGTGCCCTCTGTGCTGGGGTCGACTTGTGGCAGCTCGGCAGGCTGACCCCGCCCTCTGTGCTGGAGTGGCCGACTTGAAGGCAGCTCGTTAGGCCCGAGCGTTGTTCAGCTGGTGAGCCGGGCTGTTTCAGAAGCCGCCGGCCGCCGGCGCAGAGTCCTGACAGTCCACCTGTCATTCCAGCCTGCGATGCCCCAGTTTGGAGGCGGTGCAAAGCCTGTCTGGGCGAGGAGGGAAGGGGGCGGGGTGGGGCGGTGTCGCTATCATCAGGAAATCAGACTGGGCACTGGATTCAAGGTCGAAGGCGAACAGTGACGGCCGCTGAGTGAAAGCGGCTGTACCCAAACACTGCGTCGCGAGCTTGCGAGCATGTACAGCTCGGTGGTGGACATTATGGTCGATAAATGAGAAATGGCCATAGTTCACCGTACAACCCTCCCTGAGTTTTGCTTTCAACGTTGGAATTGGCCTTTAAAGATGACCTTTGATGACATGAACACTCATGCATCGATGGAACGCACTTGCATCGCTTATTTGAAGGATTTCCGGCTTGATTGGTGCTCCAGCGAAATGGTAGTTGTTGCATCGGTTCGAGAGCCATACAGCTCACAAATCAAAATGACAGAAGAGCCATACAGCTCAGCATCAAGTGCCAACGAGCCGCTGAAAGGTTAAGTGCATCGAAGCCTCCTACATAACGGCTGTCGGCGCCAGTTTCGTGCAGAGTTCTGCTGCAGCATACCATGAGTGAGCAGGACGGAGGGCGGCCGGCCGGCGCCGGTGGCCGGGCTCGTAGCCGGGCTGGGCCGCTGGGTGGGCCGGTTGCGGCCGTGCTATGAGTCAGGCAGCGAGCGCAGCGGCGTGACTGGGGCATAGCAGCGCGCGCGCCCCGACCGACTCGGCCTTATTTGGTAGTGCGCTCGCGACAATCATTGGCACACGCCCACGACGCCCAGCCGCCGTCTCCGGCGCGCTGCAGAATCGGACCTGCTGAGGCTGGCGCGTGGGCAGCAGACAAATTGTTTGAGCCATTCTGAGCGAGCGACTGAGGGATCAGTATCAGCGCAGGATGGTGATCCGAAATACGCACGCGTGCGCGCACGCATATGTGGTTGTGGTGGCGGACATGGCTTTGTAGTACACGGGCTAAAACTGCGCTCTGTGCCTAGAAACCAGTGACATCGGCTATTTTCAAAACGCGCTATTCTTGGGTAATCGATTGACCGTTTTTTTGCATTGGCTAAACCTGTGTTTGGACAAAACTTATCATATATGCGTATTCGGCGCGGTATGCGTTGAGCAGACCTGTCTGGTCTGGGTCCGTGTTGAGGCATCCAGAGCTCATCGAAACATGCTCATAGCAGAGTTGTCAATCCATCATGCAACGCTAAATCATGGTTGTGTGCTTAGCAGATGAGGCATGCGCTATGTTGCTTTAACCGTCAGACCTATTCTCAAGTCGATTTAGGGGACAATCGGTGAAGCTTTGGCCCAACCGAATAACCGAATTAAAAGACACGATCTTTACAAATCATGACGCATTTTTGGGGTCAGGTCGCAATCAAACGACACTTTATTATTTTCTCCGCAGACCACGATGCCACACCGTGTAAGGAGATCGCTCAAATGGCCTTGGTGAGGACAGCCCAGATGGCCTTGATGGGGACAGCCCAGATGGCCTTGGTGGGAACAGCCCAGATGGCCTTGGTGGGGACAGCCCAGATGGTCATTGTGCAGAGACTTCTCAGATGGCTCCGCTGGGGCACGGTTCAGATGGTTTCGAAGTGGAACTGCTGATATGACGTCTGTGTGACGCGGCTTGGATTGCATCTGTGTGAGCGGCTCAGGTGGCCTCGGTGTGGGACAGCTCAGATGACCTCGGTGTGGGACAGCTCAGATGACCTCGGTATGGGACAGCTCAGATGGCCTCGGTGTGGAACAGCTCAGATGGCCTCGGTATGGGACAGCTCAGATGACCTCGGTGTGGGAC